AATTTTGCTGTCGCTCCACCGCACACCTCCATCTATGCTGTCCTCCATGTTTGCTGTAATTGTTTTTGTTCCCCTCTGTCAGTACAGACAGTAATGACCCAACATGGGTCATTGGCTGTTCCGACCGCTTTCACGTTAATTAATTGTTTATTAAGATAATCGTCAACTGATTTGGTAAGCGATGAATCGTTAACTGGTGAAAAGAGACTCCAAAACTTGCCTTTAGCTGACAGAGCGACCCACTTAGAGCAGTTATTATACCAAATTGTAAAAAAATATAAACACTTAACTTTAATGATTATTCTCTGATTATTAATCCCCCAAAAAATCTAAAGATTAATCGATTAGCAAAATAATCGCAGCCCTAAGTCTCACCTTTAAAACTGGGATGGCAGCTTTATCTCACATCTGTCCTTAAACGCTATGTGTGGACTTTTATGACTTAATACAGGTTCTTTTATTTGTTTCGTCTGCAAATTAACTCTTGCAGAGCTCTATTGATAAATTGATGATTTTCAAATCCCAGATTAATTGGGCATAGGGGTTGGACCAGGTGAGGGTTAGGGCATCAAGTCAACCAAGAACAGGCCTAACTATCACATGAAATAAGAAGCTAAGCTGTTAACATTAAATATGGAAACAAAACCAGCTTTCACCATTTGAAGAAAGAAATATTGGGAGGAGAGAGCAACAGGAAAGTCAATTTGAATGATAGAAAATCAGTGGTTTATGGAAATGTGCAGATCGTTTGCATGTTATTTGAAAATGTTTTTACATCTGCTCATGCAGTGTTTGCATTGCATTATTATAGCTAATANCCAAGCTTGGAATAGAGGTGATGCGCAGAAGAGCAATAACAAGACTTGTCAGAGCTCAGTGTTTATGAGCGGACTTTAGGGCTGAAACAATGAATCTGATTCATCGTGATGAATCCATTATTGAAATAATGGTCAATTAATTTAATAATCGATTAATCTTTAAATTAGTGTTGCGCCAATGCCATTTTTTGGCCCCGATACCGATACCCGATACCTGGCTGTGCAGTATACCATAACAATGTAAAATAATTGCCATCATGGCTTTGTCAAGCTGCTGCCTACCTTGATGAAGAAGGAAAAAATCTAATACAAGGTGAATCCAGTAGAACTTTTTATTACCTACCAGGAGTGGGTGACAATAGTTGAATAAACTTATGGCTCTCAAAATGGTATCGGTGCCGTATTTGTTGGTACTCGCCGATACCGATACCACCATTTTAGGGCAGTATCGGGGCCCCGTCCGATACTGGTATCGGTGCAACACTACCTTAAATGGACCATAGAGACTCAACAATATGCCTTAAGCTGAATGAGCGAGCCACTTAGAGCAGTAATTATATCAAAACTTAAAAAAAATATGTGAACATGTTGCATTTGAGATAATAGAAAGTTTTTCGTCTGTAAATATGTTTAATCCAGAACTCCTCAAGTTAAAAAGTTTAAGTTTCACTTTGTTTAATTTAGTAAAAAAAAAAAAAAAATCTTCTTTAAGGAACCTTTTGCTATCCGATTATTATTGATTTAATAAAAAAAAAATAATCGATTGACTAAATTATCGTTTGTTACAACCCTAGTGGACTGAATAACACATTAATTAATTGTTTATAAAGATAATTGTCAACTGATTTGGTAAGCGATAAATCGTTAACTGGAGAAAAGACTCTAAAACTTGCCTTTAGCTGACAGAGCGACCCACTTAGAGCAGTTATTATACCAAATTGTAAAAAAAAAAATTAAATACATAAATAAATAACCACTTAAAGCTACAGTGTGTAATTTTCAGCGACATCTAACGTCCAGACTGCAGACTGCAGGAACATGAACATCTCACCCCCACCGCTTCTCCCCCCCAACAGTACGGCGAGCGTTACGGGACAAAATGTCTTCCACGACGTCCACATCACCTACCTTCTCAAGTGATGAGGTTTGTTT